AGTAAAATAATATATAGCAGATACAGTAAAAATATATGCTAATATTCATTCATAAAGCTGCGTGTCTAAACTGTTACAGTTCAGTCCAGCAGAAGAGAACAGGATCAGCAGAGCCCAGCTGTGTGTCTATGAAGAGTGATCAGTCTATGGATCCACCACTGCGTTTTAACGTTGGAAACACATTATCTGGCTGCAAGTCCAATATTTATGCAAACACATGGTATCAGCATTTTGTTTACATTGTGGAACGAGACAGGAAATTGATAAAGTGAATTATGTAGTGGCATTTATATTTTCATCTAATGTTTTCATGTTCAAGGTGCTGTTCACACAAAAGCACTTAGTACAGGATACAGCTTTGCACCTCTGCTTTATATGTAATCTTTCTGTTCTCCCTGACTTTAGGACATTACGCTTGAATATTCTAAAAAATTATTTATAAAGCTATATCTCTACACTGTTTCAGTTCAGTCAAGCCTATGAGAACAGAATCAGCAGAGCCCAGCTGTGTGTCAATGAAGAGCGATCAGTCTATGAATCCACCACTGTTTTTTAATGACAGAAACACATCATCTGGCAGAAGGTACAATATTTCTGCAAACACATGGTATCAGTTTTATGTACTGTTCACTAAAATGTCCTAAATCTTTCTCTTAATCTGATGTTCGTAGAAAGAGAAAACACAGCATGAAGGAGAATCTACCAAAGCCCAGCCATGTGCCTGTGAAGAGAGACTGTTCAGTGGATCAGCCAATACTTTCCAGTGGTGGAAACACTGCCCGCCGGTACAGTTTGTAAAGTTTTGTATCCTTAGTTGTGTTGTCAAAAGTACTGGTACTTCAGGACCAAGTATTATATTTACACTTTGAAAACTTAGCAATACCAGCAGTGCACAGTGCCGGTAGTAGCGACCTGCTGACAGGTGGCTGCTCAAACGCTCCCGTATTTGTGTGAGTATATGTGAAGAGTGTCAAAGCTTTCAATTTGCAACGTGTTTTTGCAGCATTGTAGCCAATCACAGATATGTTTGTTGAGCATGTGAACGGAATGGCCAGTCAGAGGCGTGTAATGCCAAGTTCACACTACAGGATTTTAAGCCCGATTTAAGCTCAATTTGCAACTCAACGAGTTTGTCGACAGGCCGGACTGTGATTGGGGGAAAATCAGCAGGTGATCATCACTCGGCAATCTTTATGTGTGAACTATTCAATGACGCATCAAAGAGGCTCGCCGACGCCTTGCTGGCGCCAAACAAATATCTAGCATGCTAAATATCTGGACCAGTCGGCCGACTCGCCATCACGTGGTGTCAGGTGTCACGACGAGCTAGGCATGGGTTGAGGTCAGCGGAAGAAAAACAGCAGCAGTAACATGGCTTTCAGAGAAGCGAGCGACAGACAGAGGCGCGAGGAGTTGCTCAGGTTGAGGACTACACACTGCCAGCATACTTTGACCGACGAGAGAGCCCTCTTCCTGATATCAAGTTTGTGCAGCAGCTGAGTCCTGAGCAGAAGTCTCTAAAGGAAAAAGAGAAGGGATCCTGGGCTGCGCTGTCCAAAGAGGAGAAGATTGCATTATATCGCATCAGTTTCAAGGAGAGCTTTGCTGAAATGGACAAGAGAACAGGAGAGTGGAAATCTGTAGTTGCAGGAATTTTCTTTTTCATTGGCTTCACTGGTCTAGTTGTCTTGTGGCAGAGGAAGTATGTTTATGGAGATGTTCCCCATACCTTTGACCCCGAATACAAGCAGAAGGAGGTTCAGAGAATGCTGGATATGAGGATCAACCCCGTTGAGGGCTTTTCAGCCAAATGGGACTATGAAAACAATGCTTGGAAGAAATAAATTGTAGACCAGGCCCACCCCTTCTAACTAATAACCCAACAGAACAGACAAGTGTGTATTTTTTTTTCTCCACTGTTACTTCTGAATGATTTTGGAAGTTTGCTTCCTCTTAAGGTTATGTATCATAAATAAAAATCATATGTATAAAAAAAATTAAAAAAAACATGGCTTTGAGAAAAGTTTGGACACAAGAAATGGAGCGAATTTGTTTATAACAGATCCTCACGCAAACAGCTTGCAGCACTAATTTATTTTCTTTTTTCATTTTCAAATAAACAACTCCTGTATTACTTGTTGTTTCGCGTCATTCCCGTTCAACTTCTCGCGTGTGTTTTCATGACAGAACGTGGTTTGGGGACCTGATAGAGTCGTTGGGTGACAGAGTTGGTGTCAGCTTGTGTAGTGTGTGACCCCGTGTTGTAGGCTACGTTTTAAATATCCTGTGCATATAGCGCTTCATCGTCTATCATGAGATTTTGGCCAAGTGTATTAAACGACATGAAAAACTAAGCGCCCATATAGCTACAATAAATGTTATAACCTGTAAATTGATGAAAGCGTATAATGCGATGCACTTGCTGCCTCCGATGCGGCCGTTGTAATGACAGATAAAATACAGATCTCCGTCATTCGCTGGTCAAAAACCTTGTTAACTCCACCGGTTTATGCCACTGCCATACCCTATGGTTTTGTGAAACGCTGCCACTGGGTTGAACTGAACTGAACTGATATCAGCTTCATTGTTTACAAGTGAGCGTCTTTGCTCACTTCTGTATATTTCATTCATAATTTGAGTAAAAGTTTTATTTTTCTTGCTAAGTACACACTGAAAAATTTTAGGAGTGAAGACGGCATTAAATTGCAGGACTGAATCTGAAATTAACCATAGCAACGGATGGGACAAAACCAATCTGATGTGTCAGAAAAGATCTGTGCATTAAGTCTTACAGACCAGCCACTTGTTCTGTTACCTGTAATGTGTTTATTTTATTACTTTCATTTGATCTTTTTAATACAATGTTTTCATAATTGAACAATATTTGAAGGCTACATGCTACTTTTGGTACTTTTGGTGGTATCAGTACCAACTACTAGGTTTTTGGTATGGTGACATCCCTAATCCTTAGTACTACGTTTTTTATTGCTCAGTATTTGTGGTGCACCGAGACGGTAGATTCCTGTTCATTCTTGGTCAATCGATAACTGAAGTTCTTACATATTTCAGTTTTGAAAGTTTTGAAAGTGTCTCTTCACATTAGCAGGCTCATCACATTCTATTGTGTTTTTGTTTGCTCATCTTGTTTAAATGTCATGTGTGTTGGTTTAGATCTGTATTTTGCTTGTTTTTTTCATTATATGTTAGAATGAATACAGTTATTTATTAATTACTTGTACATTATCATTCACCACAGTTGATCTGATGTATAATATTTTTTATGTTCAGTGTTGTCGTAGCACATCCACACAGGAGAAGAGATACATCAACTGTTTTCAGGTAACCTGTCAGATTTTTTTTTTTTAAGTCAGTGATCAAAACTTGTTTGCTTTTTTATACCTCATAAGACTTTTACTATTTAGACATGGTGGCTTGTAAGATTGTGCACCTCACTACATAATATAAAAAGCATAATATTTATTATATTCCAACAGTCTAGATGTTTTTGTTTGTCAATTTCAGTTGAACTATGCCTTTAAAAAGTATTTAAAATAATTCAAAGAGTTGTCATGACTAAAGTGCAATAATGTGGTCATTTAATTTTCCAGCCATGAAGTCCTCAGCGCATTTAGATCAAATCTAAAGAAGAAGTTTCAGTGTCTGTATGAGGGAACAGCAAAAGTCATCAAGGAGCCTCTTCATCATGTGCCACATCCCAGTGTTCTGCTGGATCTCAGCCGCTGTTCTGGAGAAGATGTTGAGTCGAGCAGAGAGTGGAGAGATTCCCAAGACTCTCACTCAAATGTACACTCACTTCCTGACGGCACAGATTAACATTAAAAACATGAAGTACAATGAGAAGGACACTGACAAAAAGATGATTTTCAAACTAGGTAAACTGGCATACAAAGAACTGGAAAAAGGCAATGTGATCTTCTATGAGGAAGACCTGAGAGAGTGTGGCATTGATGTGACAGAAGCATCAGTGTACTCAGGATTGTGCACTCAGATCTTCAGAGAGGAGTTTGGCTTGTATCAGGGGAAAGTCTTCTGCTTTGTTCATCTGAGCATTCAGGAACATCTAGCTGCTCTATATGTGCACCTCTCCTGTACAAACCACAACAGAAATGTGTTTGACAAAATCACCAAACGAAGTTTGTTGTCTAAAATGAAGAACTGGTTTCAACTAAATTCATCAGAACATGTTTCATTATCTGAGTTGCATCAGAGAGCTGTGAATGAGGCTCTACAGAGTAAAACTGGTCATCTGGACTTTTTCCTGCGGTTTCTTCTGGGTCTGTCAGTGGAGTCTCATCAGATTCTCCTACAAGGACTAATGAAACAGACAAGAAGCAGCTCTGACAGCAATGAGAGAACAGTTGAGTTCATCAAGAAGAAGATCAGGAGCAATCGATCTCCAGAAAAATTTATGAATCTGTTCCACTGTCTGAATGAACTGGGTGATCATTCACTAGTGGAGGAAATACAACACTATCTGACATCTGGAACAATAAAGGAAGTCAAACTTTCTTCATCTCAGTGGTCAGCTGTAGCTTTTGTGTTGTTGACATCAGAGAAGGAGCTTGATGTGTTTGATCTCAAGACATTTGTTGTAGGAAGCGATAAAGCAGAAAACATGAAAGTTTTTCAGAAGCTGCTGCCTGTGATTAAAGAATCCAGATCAGTTCAGTAAGTATCACTGAAAACAATCACTTCACTGTTAAAACATAAAGAAAATAAAAACTCAAATAGCCTCAGTGCTGCAGATGCTATCCAGAGTTTAGTAGTCAGTCTTTTGATGTGTTTTCTAATCAATAACACCATAAGATTTTGAAGTCAGAGCAGTTGCATATGAATAAATTAGATTTATCAGTTATTCAAATGTTTTGTTAAACCACTGACATTGTGCAATAATCTTATTTATCTTTCTTTAACGAGCCTGATGCTCTGTGGCGTTTTAGATCTCAGTCCGATGATCCATCAAAAGTTGATTTGTGCTTTAAGTTTGTATTTTTCTCTTCAATAATGGATTTACTGCTTAACTGATCTCAGAGAATGAGGAATGTCATTGTTCTCTACAGGTTGAAGAATTGTGGTCTCACAGATGAAGGTTGTGCTGCTCTGGCTTCAGCTCTGAGATCAAACCCCTCACACCTGAG